CTCAGACAGAGAGCAAAAAAATCACTGCATCGATATCTGTAATTCTGGACTGTTCATTTTTCTTATTACTCTGAGGGATTTTGCTTTGAACCAGATGAAACGCTGAGAATGAAGCAAATTTATCTTAATCCTCAGGCCAAAGTACTGGAGATGCACCATTCCATGAAAAAGTTCAGTCAGACTTGCTTGTGAGCAGCAAAGTAAGAGCAGTAGCAAAGCACAGGTTGTAAAGGCTGCAGTAGCTACAGGTTTCACTATTAAAAAATGTCACTTTTATGCAACCCTGGCCTTGGTTGTAACCCCCAGACACACCACAATTTAAATTAAAAAAATCCCAAATGATCACATCTAGGGTTGGGCTCTCAAGACAATCACAACCCTATTGTTCTACAAGCTGAGCTGAACTGAATATATGCAGCAGCTTAATACAATTTCTACCTGTATGAATGCCAAAAATATCTAAAAAAAGAGCTGTTTAGCCAGTATTTCAACATTATAGGAAAGGACTTTGCTCTCCCAATTAACCTTTGCTATAAGAAACAATTTAACCCTCATCCAAGGAGAAGCAATCGGCTCTCCAAGAGGAGCTGGACACATCCTCTTTCTGAAGGTCACTGCACTCAGACTGGCTCCCAGGAACTTCATGACGAGTTCACATCAGCAACCACATGTCCCATTACCAGTTTGTTCTTCACATGGGGGGGTCAGTATTCCTACAATCTGACAGCTGGGTCTTCTGTTCACAGCCACTTCTAAGTTAAAAATCATCAACTTGGACCAATCTCAAGTTACAACTATGCAAGCCTTCGGCTGAGTTAAGACTTTCAGGATCTCATTCAAACCACATTCATTTTAACAAGCTAACAAAGTCCCTGTGGGCAAGAAATTGGTTTTTTTCCCTGAGAATCCATCTAGAATGAGCTCTCTGGACTGGCTGTTAGAGCACAGTTTTTCAACTTCTTTACTGCAGTGCAAAGTAACGGTCCTAGAAACTTGTTTCTTTTCTACAGGTGTTGTACACATTCCTGTTCCTCTAATTCACACCTTTATCCTCTGATGAATTATGCAACAAATACAAATTACAAAAAAAATATGTGCACTTAATTTAATGGGTGTCATGAGAAAAAAAATCCTGTCCCCATGATCATAACAGTGAAGAGTATAAACGGAGTTCAGGCGATGGCTTTGTTCAAAGCATTCTTTTCTTCTAGTCAGCTTTAAAAGGCAACTAAAGGGAATGGTCCAAACAAAGGATCTTTTGCAGAAAAACCAGAAGCATGTCCTTGCCCACTCACGTTCATTTAAAACTCCTTTTGCATGAAAGGAGTTTTCTTGCAAAGAATGTTTGCTATAGGATCCAAGCTAAATTCCAAGCTGGATCATTTCTCTCTGCCAGCTTTTGGCAGCATAATTTTGATAAATACTCAGAGGCAGAACAATCAGCAAAGGACAAAGCAATCCTTGCAAACAGTTTGCAAAGCTACTTTGGAGACATTTAGAAAAACATACACAAGTCAATATTAAGTCAGGGTTATTCAGCCTATTGCAGGCAGTCACATTAATAATAATGTTTGATTATTAATTGCAAATATTGGTCTTTAGCCAGGCTTGAAATTTCTAAGTGGATGAACTAGCATGAGCTGCGTGATTACACTCAGCCCACCCTTGCTTTTTCCCATTGCTTCCTATAAAATCTCATCATTGGCTCTTCTATGAAGAAGGAGCACTCAAAGCAGCTGCTGTCCCTCGCCTGCCAAGCTGTCAATGCACTGCAGGAGAAACAGAGTGAAGAGTTCTGGCTGCTCCACTCCTAGTTACCTTGCCTGACTATGAGAGTGAAGAAGTCAAGGCTGCCAAAGCACCTCGCACTCACGTGATTCCCACTGCGGGTAGAAAGTCTCCTGGCAAAACCTCTGTCAGTCTAATTTAGTGGAAGGAAGAGAAGAGTGGCATTAGAATAAGCTGCTACCTGCAGCAGAACTATTTCAAGAGTAGACCATGTGCAGTCAGTTCAGCTGCCAAATCACCTCCAGCAGACTGGCCCTGGGACAGCAGG